ACTATTCTATAGTATTGTCGTTTTTATGACGTGCTACAAACATGCATTGTAATGTAGTCAAATAAATATACTCTACTCTACTCTAGTTTTGTGACGATTGGAGGGGGTCCTCACTTTTATTTGCCGGAATGGGGTGCATTTTAGGACAAATTATGTTAAAATAATACAAAATGCTCAAAGTCATTGTATTTATTTACCATTCCATTCCACTTTGAGCATTGTGGCTATTTCGTAGTTGACATATTATGTTTAATAATGAGAAGTTGTTCGATAATTTCAGATGATGAAAATGAAAATAAACATAATGCTAAAGAAATGTGAAAATATTTAAAATCACTTATAAATCCAATTGAAAGTTATGATTTTGAAAGGATAGTATTCAATCTCGGCGATCAAATAAAAGTTTGTAACACAGAAATTGATATTGCGAATGGATTCAATGAATATTTTGTTCATAGCATCAGAGAAATTGTGAACAATATAAATTCTGATTCAGACTGGAGTTCAAACAGTTTTGATATAGTTAATTGTGAATTAAATTCATTTCAACAGCTTGATTTGCCGCAGTTGAAAAATATAATATTTTCAATAGATAAGATTAATAGATCTGAGATAATGAACAGTCAATTTTTAAGAGAGACATTCAACACCTTAGGACATGTAATACTGAACTTTATAAATACGTCTCTTCAAACTGGACAATTTCCCCAACACTTCAAAACAAGCACTGTTATACCAATACCGAAAATAAATAATACTATAGAATCGTGTAATTTTCGTCCTATCAATACTCTTCCAACCCTTGAAAAAGTTTTGGAATTAGCAGTGTATGAGGTACTCGTCAAATACTTTGATGAAAACGGGTTATTCTTAGGTTGTCAGTCAGGCTTCAGAAAAAAACATTCGTGTGAGTCTGCCTTACAGTATACAATATCAAATTGGAAAGAAAAAATTGATAAAGATAATCACGTTGTTACTACATTCTTGGATTCAAAAAGGGCATTCGAAACAATAGACAGAAATATATTAATCCAAAAGCTCGAATATTATGGTATTGGTGATATAGTTTTGAAGTGGTTGAAAAGTTATCTCAGTTTTAGGAGTCAAATAACAAAAATTAATGGGTGCTACTCGCAAAATATGAAAAATGATCTTGGAGTACCACAAGGCAGTGTATTAGGGCTCTTACTATTTTTAATTTATATAAATGATATCAATTACGTACATGGAGATCACGTAATCAACCCTTTTGCAGATGACACGTTGATATATACCTATGATAAAACCTTGCAAGTCGCTGATGAAAAGATGAATAATTCATTGAAAAATATTGAGTTGTACCTTGAAACAAATAAACTAAAACTGAATATCAATAAAACAAAGGCGATGATCATTACTACAAAATATAAACAACATAACATTGAGAGGAATCAAGTCAAAATTGAAATAAATGAAAATGATGTAGGAATTGTGAGTAAGTTTAAGTATCTAGGATTTATTGTAGATAACACAATTTCATTGAATGATAATGCTGACTATGTAATAAGTAAAATATCAAAAAAACTGTATTTTTTCTCAAGAGTGTCATCTTCACTATCAATGTATGCCAAAATAACATACTATAATTGCATAATAAAACCTCATTATGATTTCTGCGGTACACTCTTATATCTTATTAATCAGAACAAATTAAACCAATTACAAAAATTGCAGAATCGTGGAATGCGAATAATACTACGCTGCAATAGAATGACACCTATACAAGATATGCTTCGTAGATTAAGATGGCTTACAGTTTCTTAACGACTTTACTATCTAACTATGATATTTATATTTAAAATAATAAATAAATTGCAACCAACATATTTAGAAAACCTTCTAATCACGAACAATGAAGTACATCATCATAATACCAGATCGAATACCAATTTCTACATCCCAAGGACAAATTCACGAAGCAGTACATGGAAAAAAAGGAATTGTTGAATCAAGCAAAATTTAATTGAATGAAGCAAATAAAAGTGTCATATACGCACGACAAAATATAATCTTGAAATGAGTGAATCTATATCTTGTTTCAGAGCGAATTTGACTTTTGAATCAAGTAAATATGTCTTGCATGAACTCTGGATCTTCTTCAATCAAGCACATCCATGAATGGTTTTGAAGAGATATTGAATTGGCTCAAACAAACATTTTGTTTGATTCAAAATAATGAGATATTGCTTCAATCAAATATTCAGTTGATTCAACGAAATATTTGGTTGATTCAAAGAAATATTAGGTTGATTCAATGAAATATCTGTTTGATTCAATAAATTATTTGGTTAATTCAATGGAATATTTTGCTGATTCAAGAGAAACTATATATCCATTCGACAAATTGTTTTGTTGAACCAAATTCAATATTCGGGAATTTTCTGAAACTTCACATCAATAGAATAAACAAAACTAGGAAACAAGTCGACTCCCAGCGTAGATCATCAGTCTTTACTTCTCTTCAGCTGATGGAAAACTATTTAGGATTGCTAATCATCCAAAGTTCGATTTATCTAGTTGATATTTCGAACACGAAGAATCAGGCTTCACGTATATAATGAATTCGAGGCAGGCATAGACGAGCCGAAATGATCGCCATCTAGAGGCGAAAATTTAAGTTGATGTAGAATGATCAAAATATTACATTGATATTACATATTTCGTTGCTCTATTCAAGCAGATGATCCGTTCGAAACAAGACTTGATGACAGTGGAAAACGAACTGTGCTGGTGCCTATTTAATTTAGAATTCTTTTGGAGGTCATTCAGTTTTGATAACAGCTAATTGATATTTTTCTCGGTGTAAAGAGTATTCGATAGCAAATTTTTGAATTTACGCTTTATATATTCACTCTGTTTCGTATCTGAGGAGTTGATTCAACCCGTGAAGTAGTCATTCAATGGAGGAGCAGATACGAAAACATACTAAGAAACAAGAACATTCACGGAAATATCTAGTGAAGCTATAGAGTTTTTGAAAATCTATTAATGATTTCCATATCAAGAGGTGATACATTCTCCTCAATGTGTAATAATACGATGGATTCACCAATTAAAAAAAATGGGGAAGTTGAAGTACGTCGAAAGATGTGTTGGTAAAACTGCATTCATTATGCAATGTTTTTTTCTTCGTAAGTTTTGTTTGGTACAGGGTGATTCACCATAAATGTCCCCCCCTCTAGCTCAGTTATTTTTGAACCGATTTTAGAATTTGAAATATCATCTTGAATGATTTTTGATAAAGTTTTTTTCCGCAAGATCAGAAAATACAGGGTGCTCGGAACAAACGATCTACAGGGTACTATTTGATTTTTTTAAATGAAACACCCTATTTTTCATTGTATTTTTAGGTTCTTCCTGAAGAGCTGATTTGATCAATGTATCACACTTGGGGTCTAGCGGGACTGATTACAGAGATATAGGGTGTTCAAAATCGAGATTTTTAACTTTAGGATTTTTTTGTGACGAAACTTTTCATTATCGGTCACGCGGTTTTCATGTCCGTATCTTAACTTTTGATTCACTATCTACTGACATTTAATAATTGGAACAGATACAGGGTGACCAGAATTCTGAATCTTGAACCACCCTGTAAATGTTCCAATTAAATTCCACTAGATAGTAAATCAAAAGTTGAGATGGGAACATAGAAGCCGTTTTGACCAATAATGAATAGTTTCGGCACAAAAAAATCCTAAATTTGGAAAATCTCGATTTTAAACACCCTATATCTCTGTAATCATTCCCGCTAAACCCCAAGTGTGATACATTGATGAAATCAGCTCTTCAGAAAGAATCTAAAAATACAATAGAATACAGGGTGTTCCATTTAAAAAAATCAATTAGTACTCTGTAGATCGTTCGTTTCAAGCACCCTGTATTTTCTGATGCAACGGGAAAAAAATTTCTGAAAAATCATTTTAGATTATCTTTCAAATTCTTAAAACGGTTCAAAAATAAGTGAGCTAGAGGGGGGGACATTTATGGTGAATCACCCGGTACTTAGGTATTTTTATCTGAAAAACACGAATTTAATGATAAAAATGTGACCGAACCATTATTTGTCAAGGTATTCCGCTATAAAGTTACGAATCATACCTTCTCTTCTGCCTGTCTTCTGGATCGCATTTAGAACAATTTGCCCTTCATTTTTCCTACTTGGACAATTCAAGTATATCACAATGTATGACAATTTTTTTTTATTATATGAGTCGACTAGGAATATGATTTTCTTCTGATTCTTCCATATTTAGTAAAAAGAAGGACGAATATCATTTGAAATAATGGCGTGTGTAATGTCATTCAAAAGCAATCTGTTGACATTTGACATCTCGTATTTGAATTGACTTTTGATCAAATGACCGTCATCTGGTATGCTCGTTCATTAAATATAAAAAAAATGCCATAAAAATCATACTTTCTGTTGAATTCTTCATATGAAAATGTGTCATTGACGTGACCAATGACAAAATGAGAAGAGTAAGTAGATGTGAATGCATCCAATACGAGGGGAAAAAAAGGGGCGAAATAAGAAGGCGAAATTTCTAAATTTTTTTTGAGATATCTCGATAAATAGTGGTTTGTTCACATTCTCATTATCAAATTCGCGTTTTTCAGACAAAAATACAAGATGTATCAAAAAACGTTTTCGAAAAAAATCCCATCGCATGATAAATGCAGTTTTACCGATTTTTTTCGATATCGAATTTCAAGTGCTACAACCGTCTCTTCTGAATTAATTATCGTTCATAATGATGAATAATTAATTCAAGAAATCAATTTGAATTAAATCATCGATTTGTATCTGATAACTAGTTTGTTTGGATTCAAAAGTAATAATATAGGGTGTACTCAATTATTTCTAGGCCAGTGTTATACATTAATTTTCATCAATATCTTGAATTTTAGATTCATCTTCAAGTCATGATATCAGAAACGTGAATAAAAAATGATGAACATACCATTCCACAGCATTCCTTTTCTGGATATCCACAAACCATTAGATGCAATAAATAGGTACACAGATTCTGACACTAACTAATCTCCGATTCATACAGAAACTAATGAATTGGGAGAAATAAAATTTATCAGAACACTGTCACAACAAAAATATCATATAAAAACCGCTCACACTCACGGCTGATCTAGATCCACCAAGAATAAAGGTAGCCGCATACGTGAAATATAATGTGTATGATAAAAATAAAGGAACTGCATGAATCATAGAGGAAATTGACAAACCATAAAACGTAGTGAAAAACGTTGAAAGAAATAATAGTCTGCATTACAATCGAATATATTTTTCTATTTCGTTGATTAATTATATGATGAATCATTACATCAGAGATTCAGAGTTCAAAACTATAAAAAATGATTTCAACTGAAAATATTGATGGCTGTTATAGTATATTATGAAGCAAATATCGATAAAACTCTGTTGCAACCTTGAGATGGGTCGAACAACTCTTTACCAAAACTCGTTCGTTCATTATTGAACCGAAAAACTTTGGAATTCTCTGCCGATGGCAATATTCTCAAGTACCCATGAAATCTCTGGAGGTTTACTAAAATTCCAATACCTCTTTCCTTTACCTATCCTCCTTAGGTACGCGCGATATTCTCCGAACATTATTGGGATTCCCTTCCGTACGACCCAGAGAAAAAAAAGGTGAAAACATATTGAAGAATTGAAAGATATGATGAGAGCATACAAAAATAAATCTGACAACAGAAGAAGGAAAGCTCAAAGTCATTCCCACTACGTTATTACTGATGTAGATCAATTAAGGGGACATGTTCCGGTTACTACAAGCAGAGGCATGTGGAAATATACATTTTATAAATAACCAAAAGTTGACTCACATGGAGGTGGAAAAATATCATCATAATATCGTGGTTCTATTGTTGAGAAGGGGTTGAGAATAAACAGGTTCCGATAAAAAATGAAGGTCCCCGTGCCCTACAAAACGCGCACTTATACAATCGAATGTCAAGTCCCAGAAAGAAAACTTGACGAGCACTCGAAGATGCTCATATAAACCATCAGGTTGCAAACAGGAAAAAACCAAAGGTCGTGTACCCTTGAGGAAGCGCTCTAAAGATCCGAAAATCAATCAAAATTGATGAGGTTAAACGCCAAAAACGTCATGAATCCAACACCAACCTGAGGTTGGAAACACGAAAATAAATTCATAAACAATATGATGAGTCATTGCCTTGAATGACAAGTGGCATAGGACACAAAACTGAAGCAAATTATACACTGGTATGGACGTGAATTCAGCTAGTGGGAGTACAGTAAGAAATAATTTCGACAGACATGCCAATGAGTAACATGGTGGGGAGAGGGGCAGGAATAATTCCAATGATTGGTTGAGTAGCAAATCTGAAAATATAAACACTTGCATACTGAGAATGAGGAGACTTAAGAAGCTACAAAACTACATAAAGCTAAATATCGTTCTTGGTGGACTCTAGAAAATTGAAAAATTGTATTCGGTCATAGTTTATCTGTTCATGAAGGCATGTGACAGGATTATTATTGTTCATTGATGGAATTATTTCAAAAATCTCCAGTAGATTCTATTAGATGCAAATAATTCTGTCACATCCCTCAATGAACGGGTGAACTATGACTGTATTGAATTTTTCACTTCTCTTTAAATCACCAGAAACCAGATTCAGCTTTATATTGTTTTGTACCTGCTCTGGTATCCATATTCTCATTATTCAATTGTTTATATTTTCAGATTTGCTGCTTGTCCAATCAGTGTTGGAAGTTACTTTCCTGCTCATCATATCACTCATTGTCGTTTCTGTCGGAATAATTTCTAACTGTACTCCCACTAGCTGAAATCACTTTCATCCCAGTGTAATTCGAGACGATGACTCATGACAATCTTCATATTATTTCCCTGTTTCTAACCTTAGATTGGATTCAACACGTCTTCGGCATTTGGCCCCATCAATATTAATTGATTTCTGGACTTTTGGTGCGCTTTCTCAAGGGTACGGGATCCTTTGTTTTTTTCTTCCTGGTTTCAACCTAATATGGTTTTCATGAGCATCTTTCAGTGTTCGTCAAGTTTTCCTTCTGAGACTTGACAAGTGCGCGTTCTTAGGGCACGGAGCCTTTGATTTTTAATGGAAACCCGTTCATTCTCAACCCCTGTCCACCAATATAACCACCATAATATGATGATAGACATCGGTATCCTATTTTGAATATTGTTTCATCTCCATGTGAGTCAACTTTCGATTTTTCATAATATGTATATTTTCACATGCTTTCGGTTGATGAAGTAACTTCTTATAACGGCTGACGATGGACTTTTGTAAGTCCGACACTGTCCCCTCAATTGATTTACTTCAGTAATAAAGTAGTGGAGATGACGTCGAACTTTTCTTCTTCCTGTTGAAAAATTCCACTTCACTTTGAGCAAACATGGAAGAGATTAAACAATTTGAAGTTATTGCCCTCACCGGAACCAAAATTATGAATGATACCATGACCACCATCATCCTCATCAGTTATGCAAGATCTGGTCCAAGAGAGACCCAAATGTATTGGAATACAAGAATAATCAATACGTCCCTGAGACATCCTATGTACATTCCAGACAACGTCCTCTGGAAGTTCCAGGGACGTCGTAAGACTTTTTCAGAGGACGTCTTTTGGACGTTCCAGATTACGTCCTATGGACACTTCATGCACATTCTTTGGGAATATTTTTTTTATGAGAAGTCGGGACATTCGTACTTCCCACGGACGTACTATATGGATGTTCGCGGTACCAAGAAAGCATCCCGCAATCCCCACAAAATGAAACTGAGATATTAGAGTGTATTCATCGAAAGCAGGAGACACTGTTTATACAAATTCGGTATCTCCATCATGAATACACTTTCTTGGAAAAATAATGACTGCTTCACAAAAACTCGGATATTTTTTTGTGCAAAAATCTACTTACCACTTCAACAGCCTCTCATGTTCACGTTCCTACAAATTGGGATCATCACTCAAACATATGCTGATGCTCTCAGAATCCACCCAGAGCAGAGCTATCAGCCTGGTGAGGGATTCCACACTCACTAATATTTTGACATCATCGGAACAAGGGTCGGCAACCATTCTTTTCTTCTACATAATCTTTCACATGTACTGTTCTTCAGGAATCTCTGCTATCATTTCATCACTCGCAGTACCAGTCAGACCAATTCGACAACCACGGTCATTCGTTTGTCGATAGAACAGCAATAATTTGGAATTCTCTTCCAATAAAAGTACTCCCAAGGACCAAAATTCTCCAGAAATGAAATTTGTCGAATTCCCTTTTTCTTCTCCTCTATAGGTACGAACAATGTTTCCTCAACATTATAGGAATTTTCTTCCGTGCGCCCCAAAAGATGAAGAAAAAAAAAATAGGAGACACATTAAAAAAATCCTCAATCTCCTATTTGAAGAGCATTGGACGAAGCTTAGTGAATCGATCTTCTTCAATATCCTTCTTCCTAGTTGTAGTTGTTGATTTCGTAAACTTCATGAATTCAGTGTTGTTCATTCAATGAATGATCTTATTGATCAATTCGCAACAAAACTGTTCTCATCCGATTTCATTCATCGAATGAAAATTCAATTATTCGAAAATCTCATCTACTCTTTCGAAATTAATTAAGTGGAGTTTTTTGAAACAAACTGCGAAGAATTGAATTGATTCGATTCGATTTTGTCAAGTAGCGGTTCATTTTTTGCCTATATCAAAAATTTACGAATTTGTATAAAACTAGATTGGAATGTCAGCCTCCCACATTCAATGATTCAATTCATCTTGTTGATGAATGCACATAACCATAACATGAGCAGAAGCTGCAACATCTAGTATAATGACCTTCTAGCCAAGTTTGAGGTCCTATCTGCGTCTGGAATATCATCCCAAATACCCCCATTATCTCCGAAGCTCCAAGGATTTCTGTTCCCCCGAGCGGTGATAAAACTTTTTCCAAGAAGCCAAACTGTCATCAACAGTCCGTGTATACAATGTGTCGCAATGTCCTCAAGTTACAAACACATTTCCTCCCACCATTTGTATTATAATATTTATTATTTGTTAGTCCCGCTTGAATGTGTTCGAATCCCATTTGCATCGTAAGGTCTCCGGAGCTCTACTTTCATAGAAATGTTATTTTATTTAAGTCTGAAAACAGTGTCCCTTGTCACCTCTTCTTCAAAGTCGTGGAATGGTTCTTTTTATGACAACAGAAGTGTTTAAAATTGCCTTCTTGGAGAGGGTCGTATCATTTAATTTTCATAGCTGCTCGGGTTGGCGAAGTAAAGAAAATTAAAGTGTAATGCATCATAACTATGTTATGGTTAAATCCAGGAGTTTTTCCGCGAAGTGGTTCTCAATAATTAAGATTTACGGCGATTTCATTGTGACTTTCTGTGGCGAATTGTTCCCCATTGTTGGGAGGGAGATCGAGACTGAACTGTTTTTGTGAGTACTTGTTCATCGTACGAAGAGGAAGTTGAGAATGTTCATAAGATCAGTCAGGTTATTTGTTATACAGTGTGTCCCACTTACCATGCTCACCATGGGTATCTTTCCAACGGTGAGAGATACGAGGTCGGTTAAATGACACCAAATGTGGAGTTTGTCAAGGCCAACTATAATGTGAAAAAATAATTTCATAAAATCAATTCGTTTTTGTTTTATACGCAAAAAACAGATTTTGATCATTTGAAAATATTCAAATAGGAATTTCACATTCTCATGGCAGTTTTTCAAAGTGATTTCGAAAAAAATATGAAATTTATACCAACTCTTCTAGAATTTGAGATATCAGCACCAACCGAGGCACCAACTTTAGTTTTTCAAATGTAGGTCATAGCTCACTATGACTTAGTTACAAATAACTTCTTTTTCTCTTACAGATGATATGTCGCAGTAATAGTTTTGTGTTGATAACAACGGAGTTATCGTCATTTATACAAGAGCAAAAA